CCCCATCTCAACGAAAAAATAATTCAGGACCCCCTACTTTCTCCTCCATCCCCCCTTGCGATATTTAATGACCGGTCCCTAATTAGGCTGATATGAGGCGCGCAAAAAGAACCAGATCTATAGCCTATAGGTCTACGATAGCTGAATAACTATATATTAATAGGCTTGGTTCCAGTCGGACCAGGTCGTACCGAGCTATACAACCATGCGATTACGGGTCTCTGAATCGATTAATACCAATCATATACTTACTCTAGTGATATTATGTGTGATATTGAACTGGAAAGTGACGGTCGTGCAAACAACTAGAAAATACTTTATTAAACAATAAAATACTGTACATAAATAATCAAGTTACAAAAAATTCATCGCAAGCTTCTTCGTGTGCATGTATAGAAAAGTAAAAATTGTTTATTAAATAATACTATGCTCCAGAGCCGTTTGTATCTATCTTTCTATTATAGTTAATTTGAAAACCTCGTGTATCAGTGTATGTGATATTTATAATTAATAAATATTTATAATATAGCATTTGTAAATTCTGAACGCTGATTGGCTAAGAGCCGTTTTGACATACACTGTAACGGAATGTCAACACGGAAAATTTCTTTCTTTACATTTATTTCTGTTATATTATAAAACAATATTAAACATTTTTCCGTTTTGATATATAGTTATATCAACATTCGTGAAAATTGGGAAAACTCAAAATTGTGGGAAAACACTCCGCCCTCCGGGCGTCGTGTTTCCACACAATTTCTCGTTTTCGCAATTCCCACTCGTGTTGATATGGCTGTATATCAACACGGAAAATGTTTTATATTTGTTAAATTTAGTTTAGTAGAGTAAATCAAACTATTCACTCGATAGCATTTAGCCTCCTCCGCAGGCCTCTCTATGGGTTCTAGCCTGCGAATGGGTTTGAAAAAAAAAATTTCTGGGAGAGAGGCCTGCCATAAATCGAACAAAATAGACGTATCTCAAATATTAGTGGCCGTGTTACGTTACCCCACCCCCTAAGTAGGCTTTTGACCCTAATTATATATTCAGTTTGAAATCTTCGGGCGAG